CCAAGTAGTTGCAAAATTGAAATCCTTGGACATTAACAAGGGCTCAGGCCCAGACAACATTCCTCCACTTTTCCATAAGCTTACGGCGGTCAACATTAGTGTTTTCTACTAACTATTGTTTATAATAATTGTCTCTCGGAGGGTTTTGTCCCTAACATATGGAAAACTGCCAATATTGCGCCTGTACACAACGCTGGAGCAAAAGATAACGTATCGAATTATCGCCCAACGTCATTGCTTCCTGTCTTGTCTAAGGTCCTCGAGAAACTGGTACATGATGCCATATCCACGCTGACCTGCATAATATCATTATACCACAGCAGCATGGATTTGTTAAGCAGCGTTCGACTGTCACCAACCTGTCGGTATACACTAATTACTTATTTACTAGCATGGATCAGCGTGTGCAAGTGGACACTGTGTATACAGACTATTGCAAGGCATTTGACAAAGTTGATCACCGGTTGCTCCTGCAGAAGCTAACATTCAACGGAATACGAGGCACCCTTCTGAGGTGGTTTTGCTCTTATATTTTAACAGGACACAGAGAGTAGTAATCAACGGTCATATGTCTGGCACCATAATTGCTACGTCTGGCATAGCACAGGGCTCCATTTTAGGACCTTTGCTGTTTGTTTTGTTTGTTAACGATATTGACAAATGTTTTTTACACAGTAACTTCCTACTATATGCTGATGACCTAAAAATCTTCAAGCAGATCAGAACTCTTAATGACTGTCTTCTTCTCCAGATGGATCTTGATCGATTCAGTGATTACTGTGTCCAAAATAATTGTGTATTTGTTGTATTTGTGGTTATGTCAATACTAACGCTAGTCTGCGTGCCCCATTGAACAAAATAATGAACAACTTTAATGATAGTTTCAGCTCACTTGATATTGACATTTTCTTGCTCTCAGACACTTCTTTCAAAACCAAAGTGTATGATCTTTTATCATAATAAGTGGATTAGCTATAAGTATAATATGTGTCTTACCTTGGTACGCCTCGACAAGCTTTTTGTTTCTACTGGATACTTATTTGTGTAGTCTACAACATATTTTTCTTTTAGTATAGAAGAAGAATAATAGAAATATATAAAACAAAACAATCCTAGTATTAATCTGTGGATAATGTTGTTGGTTGTACAATAAGTATAACATAATTGTTAGCCTTCACTTAACATATATTGTACAACTGTTTGTTATCCCTAATAAAATAAAATGAAAAAGTAAAATAGTTTTGGAAAAATGTGGCTGTGACATACGGACATAAGGGTTCCGTTTTACGCCATTTGGCTACGGAACCCTAAAAAGGTTTTATGTTTACACATAAGTACAATCAGCAGCACTTTAAATTGTACACTGACAATTTCATGGGAGCACATCTTATAGTGTGATACGACATGAAAGCAAAGTCTAAATCAATTCAGAACATTTGTACAGTAATGGTGTACCATTAGTGCTGTTAGTAATAGCAACAGCTGTGTTATTGTATACCCATATAATGTACCTACATATTGATACAATTCATGTGTATTTATTTCTAAATTGTGGCGAAGTAATAAAAGTGCTATGAAAGGTTAACCACGAATGAGTGTAAAGACTGTTAGGCATAAGGGTATTAGTAATACCTAATAAATTGGTGGCCGCTCAAATTGACTTCCACCAAATTCCAAAAGATATTCGTAAAAGCATGGTTTCATTATTTTTTCTTGTAATTTTGTAAAGTAGCCTGTGGTGAAGTGTAAATCACGTGTTCTACGTGATGATAATCATCCCCGATACGATTAGGTATCTAAGCCCTAAGCACGTCGTATACGTATTATAAGTAGTATATAAGATGTAGGTTAACTTAATAAAATGTTGATTTCACATTGAACGCTCGTCGTGATTTCTCTCGTGAGTCACCCATACCCCATCACCACAAGCCAAATGTGCAAACAAAAGCTTGTTTTCCAAATAATGACGAATAAATTCGTGTAACTAATTATTAGTTTTTCATATAGGCTTTACCGTTTTAAAAAGGTGTTTATACAAAAGAAAATATTAATTAACCAAGCCCTTGATTGTATTTTTTATAAAATAAAAACACATCACTATTGTCTTTGTTTTATATATTGATTCGATATCATGTATAGATAAATATCATCGCAATCCCACTCCAATCTTATATCAATCACGTATCAATCTCGTCTCGATTAAATTTCCATCTTTTGAAGTGAAAACCTTTGATTAGGTGAAAACTTCTTTAGCACCGTTGTGATTTGAAATTCGATGAAACGAAACAGCGATAGTATTTGACACAAGGTATTAGTAATTTTGTAACTCTCTACAAGAGACAGATAGCTGAACGGTAATGGTCTTGGGGTCGACACCAAATCATCGGTGGTTCGTTCGACCCTGAGCTCGGTTATTTTTATCATTTATTAAGCTATTATTTATTATTCGAAACATTTTAAGTATAGAATAATTAATTTTGCCTAGTATTTTACAGTTCCTAATCATGAAGGACTTTTGCTTGTTCACATTTTTGTAGGTTTCACTACCTACACTTCTATTACCACCCTTTTATCTCCATTATGATCTACAATAAACGTTGAATTGAATTGAATTAAATCTTTAGAACTATCTCAAGTCAGGCCGTGTAGTAATTAACACACGTTAAGAAACACTCTAGAGGCAGCAAACAATATTAAGGCACTAGATCACTCCTGCCAGAGCTGTTCTGACTAGAGCCTTACAGTAAATCGAAACTTTTTAATAAATTACAACAAAGACATCTAATTATTATACATATTTATACATATTTTGGATCATATTGTCCTTATTCGAACATTAAAAAAATAAAATAAAATAATTACTCAACGCTTCGTGAGTGTGCGTATTATTAAATAAGAACATATATAATATAGTAGTAAAATAATAGTAAAAAATTATAACTATAATTGCTATTTCTTCTTTCAAATGTTTAATACTTGTAAAAGTATTCATTTGACATTGTGGGTTACCTACAATGCGAAGAGATGGCGCTGCCTTGCAGCTTAAGAATGGCTAGAGGAATTTCGACGCGGTCCGTAAGGGCCGCGGTAGCATAATTGGTCAGTGCGTTCGCCCGGATTGCGAAGGGTGCGGGTTCGAGTCTCGTCTGCTGCCTGGTCCGCGTGGATTTTTTTCTAGTTATATTTTCTTTAGATTTAAACATCAAGCAGTTACATGCTTTAAAAAATAAAAATAAATGTAAATAAGAACATCTTATTAAATAAGACTTTTGTGTTGGTGCAAATCAAAAATTTTGTCTTGAGTCCTAACCTTAACCTTAGGCATATTCATTTATTTCTGTGGGTTGGTTGGTGTACAACATAATGTAAGTTGGGTGCAAACGTGCATCAAACAAATATTTTGAAGATTCCAGCACGCGAAGAAGAAAATAATAAATAAGACTTGTTGACGACTATGTTCGACATCGTCGGTAAAGGGGGTATAAAATAATAACTCGCCCACAACAAGTTTGATTTTGGTATCTATTTTTTAGTGTAAATATAAAACTGAAACAAAATAGGTATAAAATTAAAAAATAGGTCAGGTACTAACATTTTTAAAACACAATGCCTACAATTTCACTTATCCCATTTTGGGTTGAAAACTTATTATTTTAAATCGTGCCAAAATCGAATAAATTGCAAAAGTGATCAAAACATAGTTCTATCCTGTACTACATTTCTACTGGACTGTTATTAAAAATATTTTTACACAGGCTTGACGACTTGAATTCAAATTAAATAAAAACCATAAATGGACATTTTAAAATTGGTGGTGGCCAAGAAAGTCGAATATGAAAGAAATAAACAATGAGGTTTCGGATATCCCACGAGCCTTACAGTGCTTTCTTTGGGGCTAGGCTAATTAGTGCGAGTGTTAGAAACATATTTTATCATCGTCTCCTGTACAATGTCACGTAAAAGAACTAATGTGTCCTGTCTGTTGTGATACGTGTTGTACGTGTTTCATAGCTTAAGTTACTGCTGGGTAGATCGAGCTACGCATTTTAGAGATGTATTCACATCCAAAGAGATGGCTGTAATCAGCCACCTCGCAGAAAAGTAATAGTACATTTTTAGTTACCCATCCAATGAACGGACACTGAGAAAGTTGCTTAACTTCAACGATTGCAGCCGAACGCGTTAACCACTTGCGCCATCGAGCTCGGCAGAGAGGCAAACTTCTAAGCAATCCATGGATTCACCGTGCGGGTACCGGGTCTGTCGTGTGGCAGTGAGAGAAACTCCGAGCAGTTCCCGGGACTTGGAACCCAGATGTAGGTTTAAAGAGGCCCCCTTTGAGATGCGCATCAACGCTCACCTACACTGCTCGAATTGAATTATTTTTAATAATAATAATCCATTTATTCACAAACAAAATAACAATAAGACATAACCATACTATGCGAAGCCCGTCCTATGGGGGAAGTAAAAAATTAACAATATATAACTTACGGCCTAAAAATGCAAACAACTTAAAAGAATGGATACATTGGTGATGCGCGTATGTTTGTATGTATGTGAGTGTTTTGTGTGTGTGTGTGTGTGTAACTGTGTGTTGTGTGCGTATGTGGATAATCAAATCATTATCCTTAAAAGATTCTCTGCTCTGTCATGCGACCATTTTAAAAACATTTTTGAGATGTTATTTCGCATCTCCCGAACGGAGCTGTGCTTGAGATTCGATATGTTAACTAGTTGGTTATAAATGTATGGACCGAGAAAGATTCCGAAGCGTTTAGCAAAAGAGGTAGCAACAGTAACATTTGGTATTGAGAACACTCTTTTTTGCAACATCTCACTGTATTTATTGCCCCTTATCACTGTTTTGTGCACTGAGACGACCACCCGCATTAAGTACAATTTTCTGACACTCAAGACTTGAGCTTCTTCGTAAAGAGCATTTGTTGCATATCTTTTGGGTTTTCTCAAGGCAACTTATATTTATATTGAATGTATACCTGTGCGGTTTGCACGACGCCTGGCAGCGACGAGTCGTCGGTGCCGCTGCGGGAGCTCCGCGAGCCGCGCTCCGAGCTCTCCTCCTCCGAGTCCGACGTGTGGAACGACGCGCTCGGACTCGGATCCGACAGCCGCAGCTTCAGCCCGTCGCGACGCATCACACCTTACTACTTCACCACGCATCTACTTCCTTCACAACTGCATTATTTAATCCAACGAATCCACTTTACCAAGCTACTATTTGACGCACGCTTCAACCGCAGTATCATCAACTGTCAGTAACGTCACCAACTGCATGTATCTCATCTTGTTGTTGTTTTGAAGAACACTACGATTCTGATATAATTCGATCACTGTCTCTCATGGAGATATCTTTACCGTATTCTTATTTGATAGGTACGCTACTTTCTGTTGTTTTGGTACTTAAACCAGGTTTTTGCTCTTTGCAGAGTCTAATTTTGGTTTCTCTTTGGGATAATTGATTACTGAAATCGATACGATTTTAATCAAGACAACTGATAGCGTTAGTTTTCACGGCAATGGTTTGCACAAAGAGATCTATCATAGTACTGACATGAGTTTCTTAAACTGAATCTTGCTACTCAAATCGTCGTTGTAGATATTTTTTCCTTTATTAAATGAAGATACCTGACCATGGTATCCTTATAATATCAAAATGCAAAAGTAGGTGGTACAGACGCTTTATGTTATTTTTAAAATACTATTTATTGTGTTGCTTTAATCCTACTTTTTATGGTACAATTAAAATTGAACTCGTTTACTACTGCTTTATAAAACTAAATCACCCGACACGCCTGTCTGTTTTTATGTTCGTGGCGATCTCAAAAAGCACAACACGACCCTACGCAGCACAGCATCACCATGCTCACTATGGAAGTTCTCTGTAATCTGAATCAAAGGATAACATCGAAACTGTCATCAAAACAGCTGAACCAAAACTTAGAGTCTTGATCAAGGTGCGGCGTTTTATCACATCTATATCTATACTTGGGAAAAAGCTCTGCAATTTAAATAAAATACAAGTAGTAGGATTCCAAGTCTCATGAGTGCTTCAAACTAAAAATAAATTACTGAAACCTCAGGAATTTAGGATGCTGAACATGTCACCCTAACGATCACGTGGAAAATTCTAGAAGTGTAAGGAGAAATTGTTTAAAGTGAAGCCATCAGCATATAATCCCATAAGTTCTTAACAAGTGTAATATGAAAGACAACATGAATCGACGAACGCGCGGACATAAATGGTAAAATTAGCGTAAGCTTATGAGTTTCGAGAAACGGTGCCCGAATCTTATTTAGGTCTACATATTGTACAAATTCGCAATAGAAAATAATCACATCATACAAAGAAAACGACATACTCCATTACATATATGGTATAAAATCCCCAGAGTATTGTTGTTAATTATGGTAGCACGGGTACCTACACGCCAAAAGTGAGTAATAACGTCATTATTTCGCGTGAATGTGATTGTGTCCAGGGTGTAGGGATTCACGTGACGGCGTCCTATTGTCGGCCGCTCTCGTCGGAGGACACCGGCTAATTGTCCACTCGTCTCGCACACAAATAACGAAAGAAATACCACTTTTCATTCAGAGAATATATATTTTAAAGAATAAATTATAATTACATAACGTAGGTTCATGCCAAATCACTGGCGGAGTTGGTAAAACATGTCAATTTAACACGAAAAAGTTGAAAACAGCACTATCTATATCTGAGAGATATATCATTGTCTACAGTTCATCGCTGCATTTGGGATTGTTTATTACAATATAAATAATAGTGAATGATTACCTTGCAAAATAAATGTCTATCAGAGCAGTTAACTTACAAGCTGATGTGTTGTATGTTTCTCTTTCATAGATATAACATGCGTGATTCCGATCTATATGCCATTAATTAGAAATAAATAAAGCCTACACATGGAATAATTTCAATTTCTTGAATAATGTCTGATGTAGTAATAAAGATGCAATATACTTATTGAACCATTTCGGATGTTATTTATTGATTGCTCTTAAGGTGCTCAAGGCAGCCGATCCGATTGCCACAGAACCTTGCGCCAGAAATGATTAACTGTGCTCATAAGACATTACAATATTACACATAAGATTTCAGGAGCATCAATACATTGCGAGAATTTACGCCGTATTTACCAGCCATCGAGCTGCATCTCTTTTAAGCGGTCAGTCAGACTAATAGACGGTTTCTGTTCATTACAGTGTATGTATGTAGTAGGCAATTAGAATGGTCCAGGTAATGCAGGAATCACCATCTCTACGTCTTTATTTTCGGTATTTGTGCTAAAATATAGATTGGATGTTTTAAGTCATAAATTAAAATAGACATTTATTACTGGAGTAGCTGACCCGGTGAACTTACAGGCTTACAGACTTCACATTTAACATTCTGCTTAATTTAGGGTTTCAGGTAGCTTGATGACTGAGAATGTCTTCCGAGTTATCGATTGCATTTTAGAATAATAAGCCAATCAATAGATCTGTCATGTCCGACAAACATTTACCTATGTCATTGCACCATGAGCAAATTTTTCATTTATCGAGCTGACCTTCTTGATTGTCATCTCACCTAAAATAAGGGCAGTAAAACAACTATGTTTTTTACTTATTTGTCTAATTAACAAGTGATTGGACCAAACCATGTGATCACTAAATCGTGGAAGGTTACTTTAGCATATTTAAAAGGAGTTGTGATTGGTTTCCAGGTCTTTACCCAATATTCTCCAAACACAGACAGTCCCTTAGTTGACCCTTATGACTTACTGGAAAATCTAATAATGTAAACAGCAGAAAATGCAGTAATTAAATTTCTGGCATGGTTAAATAACTACTATGATATTGATGATTGCTATATTTCATGAACCAATGGCTTTACGCATGCCTGTCGCGTGAATATCAATTGTGGAACATTGTGAAAACTTAATTTATTTTTAATATATATTGCATAATTTTTCCCCATGACCTTTTTTTAAAAATCCTTGTGCTGATAATAACCAACATAAGAAAAAGAAACACGTTGATGCAGTCATCCGAGAGTTATGCGCAAACATACTTTTCGGCGATTAATTTTTATATATTTAATTATGGTCATGGATCATTCCCATTATGACTTTCCATCGAGTGCAATCGGAGAAGAACTGTTATTAAAAATTCATGGTCACATTAAACTAGACATCAAAAATTATTCAGAAAAAATATACGGCAGTATTTCAGAAGTTTACAACGCCGCAATTCCAGCATTCAGTAAGTACCGAGGTTTAAAGAGGTGGTTTCTTCGAAACACTCATCGGCTTCCATCCAACAAGGAAACTATTAAATCTACGAATAGCCGATGAATCTATGAATTGAACAATCAAACATTTCACAATGGAATTGTGAACGATACAACATATGTTGGTCCAAGGACGACCTAAATATAATTCAACGCATAAACTTGTATCTGCTGAGACGATGATCGCATTGAGGCTACTCGATGACTTCGATACATTACAGAATTTTCCCTTTTCGATCATATCCTACCGCTGATGGACGCTATTGCAAAGAATGTCAACCTCGCGACACATTTTAGTCTTTTCTCAAAAATCTTATCGAAGCGTGTAAGTACCTGATTACCCCCTGACTTGAAACTTTTCTACAAGAACTCGTCGTACGTTAAAAAAAAGTTGGATGGGATGTTAACAACTTATTCACTTCAAGTCGACTTTCCATTCGCGCTAAGATATGCCTGCGACTTAGCTTCCCTACCTACGCGTTTATTTCACACATGGAGACGAAAACTTTTACCAGGAAACTGTTTCTTTTTATTTTATGAATTTGTTTAGATTACAGCCTACCCTCGTGTTATTGCTTTCAGGCGGATTGACATATCTGAATAACAAGAAACATCCATACCATCATATTTCATGAATAAGAAATTTACTTTTGCATTCATAATATATCAGGATTGAAAGAGAAGTTACACACGATGTTATTAAATTTACTGCTAAACTATTTAGTTTTTAAACGAGTTATGGTAAGTAATAAGACATTAGGTAACGAATACATTATATCGAAATAGTTATAAAGGTAAGGCAGATAACACAGTGAATACTGCGCGCAAGAGAAAGAGGTTGTGCAAAATTATGCTAATAAGCTTCACGAGACCAATAATGTGGTCTTCGTCTGAGACGCAGAAAAGTTTTAATTATGCAACTTTTCCTCGTAGACTCGTGCCGGGGTATCGCGGGGCAACGACAATTTACTGGACCGGATTTTACTTCACGAATTAACTGTTATCTGGACTTGTCAATTTTGCGACCGCAAATTGAGGTTTCGTTTACGGCGACGGCGTTCTTACGATGAAGTACGTAGCGAAATCGCTTTTTGTTTACGGCACGTATCCAATTACGATGTTCCCGGTGAGAGGGTGGAACACGAGAGCGGGTCAGCGTCGCCCGCCGCCGCCGCCGTCCGCGCGTACTCCGCGAAACGCATAATAAACACTATTTTTGTAACGCCGCTGTGAACCATTGCCGTGTGCGCGTTTTGCAACACCTGTTGATTAGAGAGGCCGGGGCTGCGGTCCGAGCCCGGGGCGGCTACATGACGCGTTCGGTTCCGTTGTGTGGCGCGTGGAGTTTCCCGAGAGCGTCGCGACGCCGGCCGTCGACAGTGGCGCCGCACGCGGTACTGACTGAATCTCGCCGCCTTTCGTAAAAGCACTCCGCATGTATGTAGCCGCGCCCGCTTCCTTCTCAACCCGACCTTACTGCACCCCAATACGGTCTGTTATCCCTCGCGAGTCATAATGTATAGTTTACCATCGAGACGTCCCTTTTGTTCCCGTACTTCTGTTCCGCTCTCTGTGACTGACTCGTTCCGTTACGGTCGTAATCATTACGTTAATTACTATACCCGTAGCTTAATGTACTCTTTCAGCTTTCACGCTATTATTTTGTAAGCTGATATGCTGTAACTAGCCGTAGTAAATTATCATGAACGTGACATCGTCGTGGACATCTGTTTCGTTAAACTTGAAATACTGTTATGTGCTTTCGTCGAGGTCAACTTGAGTTATCGGCAGATTTTTTAGGTTAAATCACATTTGTTTTAATTACAGTAACCTATGTACCTTCTGTGTGTAGTTTTAAGCAATTTGGAACATTAAAAGTATCCAGGTATCAAGTACGCCACTGATCAATTTCTTACGATGTAAAAGCTTCAATTTTTGGAATTACGCTGTTAACGTACACATATGAATATAAGTAAAACATCAATCCTAGAAGACCAGATTTTATAAAATAGATTGGATTTTTTTTATTATTGCTAAATTCAATTAATACCGAAAATTCAACTCGTAGAAAGTCATCTACTATGTTAAGTATAGCAATGGTGGATGAAATGAGAAGTGTAGCTACAAATGAGAAGTGTAGCTACAAATCAAATGGAAATCATTACATTACTATAACTCGGTTTTTACATTTCAGGGAAATAAATGTATAGAACCTTTAGTATAAAACGGACTGTTTAAATTTCAAATTATTTTGGCTTCTACATATGAAATTCAAAATTCCTCTGACAATCTTAATATAATAACTAATGATTCGTTGTTCCCATCATTTGAAATTCCGAGAAATTATAATATATAAATATTGTGTCTTTTCGGAATGGAAACCTCATATATGATAATATCTTTACTCGGATGCAATCCCGAAGATGTTTTACTTCAGTAAATAGGAAGGAATCCCGCTTGCCGCAATCTGTGCAGCGTCGCCCCGACTGGACCGAATAACTTATATTACACAGTCAATCTGTCGAAAAAAATCGTTTCAGTGAAAAAAAACCTAAAGGGTAAGTCTTGTTTTTTTCTGTTGCCAAATCATGAAAAAAATAAAAAATATTAAAACGTACATTGAAATGTGCACTGCAAATGTGTACTTGAACTGCCCAAAACCGCTCTATTGGATTTTTCATACCTGCGCAATTTATAACTTGAAAACGGTAAGTAATACAAAAAAATTGTTTATACAAAAGTTGTTGGTAATTATGTACGGAACAACTTTTCCATTTAAAGTTTTTCATTAAAATGATATTTTCAGGGTGAAAAAGTGAAAAAACACTTTTTTTGAGACTTTAGCGCCACCTACAATGTGCATTTTTTGTTGTACGAGATTGCAACAATGACTTAAATTGTAGTACTCAACGCCCTCTACAATTATAGTTGTAAAAAAAGTTTCTAAAATGCATACAAAACAAGAAAAATGCGTTTCAAAATTTTTTTGAGGGTTTTTTTTGAGTTTTTCAAAAAACGCCTACGAGTTGAACATGCCCATCGCCAAGGTGGGTTTACCCTTTAGGTTTTTTTTTTCACCACTCTACCTACAAATTTACTGTACTATTGCTGCGTCCAGACACTGCTGTATGTGTCCCGCTTGCATTACACCACAAAAGTAGGCATGCGTCCGATATATCAAAACGAATCCAAAATCCGATTTCAAACACAAATCGATACCGAACGATTTCTCAACAAGAAAATCCGATTTCAGAAATCTAACCGAACCAAAACGCTAGCGATCTAATACCACCACAAGTCCACAAGTATCCAAATGTATATCGGATTCGAAATTCGTGCTTTCGTTTTCGGAAGTCAGATTTCGTGCTCGGAAGTCCGATTTCGGTTTGCTGTTTACGGAAATCTATTGTTCTTCTCTAATACGGGATTATTTATTACTGAAAAAAGATGTCTAAAAACATCAAAAGTCGAGCAACTGACATTTTTTTGAACGCTAACCTGAAGTACTTAGGTTTGATTTTGTAAATGGTTTGAAAAATAATAAAAACAAACAGAAAAACCAAAAAAAAATACTAAAAAAATATGTA